TAATACTACCTACTGTAGCAGTATATTCATAATATAGCAGGGTAGCTAGAGTGTTATACCAATATAATAGCTACCAATTGATATAAATTGCCAAGAGCAAGAAATCAAAATGTATTTAAAACAAATTTTTGACATAACACATTTGAACAGAGATATATATATCAAGCCGAAGCCTACCAGAGATTAAAAAACCCAATTCACTGAGAGTATAAAATTTAAAATTTCAATTTACTACTACAATGTTTCCCATTAAGCTAATCAGCTTTGAACTTTCTCAAATTCATCCTGTAGGAACTGAGTGTACTGCCATGACAGGTCTATGGATTTAGTTATCAAGTTGGAGGAGATAGCTTCACAATAAACTCTGAAGCCTTCCACAAAAAGAGAATGATTCTTATAGTTGCTACCTAGAAGGAACAGACAACTCATTCAGTTGGTTCTATGGTATCTGCGGCCTACTTGGGGCCGAGTGTAGGCCTTCAAGCAGTCTCCATGCCTCCACAATTTTCCCCTAAGTTAAGACATTTCCTTTGAGGTCGGAGCTATTCAGCTTCTAGTATCTAGTTTCTCACTGAGAAGTAATACCAGTCCCTTGCTGATAAACAGTAAGTCAATTTTGGGGAAAATTCCAATTTGGTATTTTGTTCAACAATTCTCCTACATACTTCCTAGCCCATGCTAAGAGCTTTCCAAGTGATTGTCGTGTAGAATCCAAGAATTTAAGCAAACATAAACTACAGAGAAAAAATCATATTATAGATAATGTCTTGGATATTTTGAAGAAGCTAAGACTCAGAAAATGGAAAGTTGTTTATTCCATGCAAATGGCTATTCTGAAATGTGCTTTATAGACCCAGGAAGAAAGCACAAGTTTTTCTAAATCCCCTTGTATTAAATCCCTGTGAATTTAACTATCCATTAAAAGTTAATTTCATTTGATACACTGCAAATAAACACAAGGTTGAGAGGCTATGTACATTGTTAGCTTGGAAAGAAGAAAAACTTAATTAGTCCGAAGTCCAGAAATTCAATGTGACTTTGATGTTAATTAGTCTGAAGAAATGTAATTTCAGAAAAACTGACAAATGTGTATTGCAAGTAAATGCATGAGTAAAATTTGTGAAAAAATTATCACACGATCTATAACGTTCTGTGCATCAGTAAAAGTGCTTCTTCAGCTCTTCAAAAACAATTTCTTTTCTACCTAACAAAACTTGGACAGAAAATAACATTCAGAGTTGCCTGACTTTATGAAAATATCTACAACAGAATTAACTTATTTACAATATAGACACAGTAAGGCTATAAAAGACATTTACTCTACTTTTTCGTATTGCAGAGGACTGTAATATTGATTATGCCCAAAGCAAGTTGAAAAGCGTTAACCCCACAATTGGCTTGTTTATAGAAGCGAGTCTGGCTGAAGCTACCCTCTGAGGTCAAAGTAACTCGCAACTGAATTCTGTTCCCACAACCAAAACCTTAAGACTAGAAGGACAATGTTCCAATTGCAATCCTATATTTTGTCTATTCTGTTCCCAATTCGAGAATGCTTTGTCTTGTCCTTTATGAGCTTTGTTTACATTAATTTCCATAGAAACCACATGTCACCTTTACCCCAATTGACTGCAATAAAAGTCAGTGCCTGGGACTGCAGTGCCTTAATCAGTTGGATCAGCACTGGTCATCCTGGCACCCCGCTTTCTCTCTCCTAGCTCTACCTATTAGCATATGCTTTTTCTCAGGCCTGTCTGCATCGTATACTGAGCAGGTGGGTACTGGAACCTGACTACAGGGGTCTCCAACACTGTAGTTTAATTTCAGGAAGGCAAGAAGGGAGTTAAAAGCAAAAAGGCCAAAAGTATTGTGAAAATGCTGATGATATCATAAAAGAGATGATTTTAGTTTTCGCTTACCACATACACTCTCCTGCTCCAACTAAAACATCTGCCTATCACCCTATAAACATCCTTACACTTCTCCACTTCTCTTTTCTTTATGAGGAAAAAAAAAGGAAAAAAGAAAAAAGGAGTTTTTTGGGACTTAATAGCCAGCAGCTGTTTGGCTGCTAAATACCACATCTGGAAGGGAATGTGCTATTCACATGGAAAACAAAAACAAAAACTATTGTTTAATTTTCTTAATGTATACCAGTTTTTACAGACAGATATCTGGATGGTTTTAATATGGAGAAAGACAGAAGAGCTCTTGAACTGCATCTGAAAACCAATATATCTTTCCCAGAAAGTAGTGCACAACTGATGAACAGCTGGTCTTTGGTCATGTTTAAATACTAGGTTCTAGGTGGAAAGACTGCTATAGAGAATGAGTTTTGTGCCAAGTAGAAAGGGCTCCTTTTAGAAAGAATTTACATTCATTTCATACTTCTGAGATGAGCCCTACTTCAGGCTAAAATGAACCTGCTTTGCTAGGTTATGATTGTAATTTTCTGAATGCTTAATCCATTTCTAAAATACACTAAAACTAAATATTACATTTGCTTTACAAAAATTAAAATGGTGAACTGGCATTGTTAAAAAAAAAAAGCTGAGCCTAGGATTATAACACGTTGAGTGGGGCTGGTTTTAAAACATTATGCTTCCAGGCTAGAAAAGGGGACAGAAAAAGTATACAACGACATACTTTGATAATCTTCCATGCTGAAAATCAGTTGTTTCCTTTGCCCCTTTATTTTTCCTTTGAAAGGAAGCTTGATATAAGAACCACTATATCAATATGTAATATTTCAAGAGGTGCTACATTTTACCCTTGAAGAAATTAAGATGTTTTCATTAAAAAGGACTCAGTTCCGGAGACATGGGTGATACAGGTGCTCACAGTTCTCTTCCTGCGCTTTTGCTCACATCTCTCTCCTTTCTTTCCTCCTCTCCTGAGACAAAGACTTGGGGGCAGCAAATGGTTTACCCTTACCCTTCTTTCAGGACCTCCAATCACGTATACCCTAGAGATTAACTTGAAAATCTTCTGCATATTGTAAATTACTATCAAATTACCTGCATCTCTCACAGAAGTGAGTATTTGTAACCGCTGTTAAAAAAAAAACCTGTTAACTACTAAATTCTGTGCAATTGTCATCACTGGTAAATCAAAGACTAATCTAATATGCATATAAATGGCTTGTGGGTATGTGTGTTGGATGAGAAGGATACTGATTTTTTTTTTTTTTTTGTACCAGGGATCAAACTCAGGGCCCTGTGCTTGAGAGGCAGGCATGGTATCCCTTAGCTAAATCCCTGCTTTTTGTAGAAACACTCGGGTTTTTCTCCTGTTCCTCTCTTCCTTCCTCGCTTTCTTTCTGTTCTCCTTTCTTGTATTCTTTTGTTTTCAATATTTGAGATATTTCAAAGGTTGTGTCTATAACTAATTAATCCTCAGATTACTCCTGTGATATAAATTTCTATTTTATAACATTTGATAAAAATTTACAGTTACAGAAAAAGAAAAAGAGTAACACACAAAAATGCTAAATTTTCTATACTAAAAGGCTAAAATATTTATTATGGATATTGAGTGGAAGTGACTCAGAGGAAAGGGAGAGATCAATATTTTTATATTTATTCCAGCTTCTGGTTTTCCCTTGTTACTCATTTTTGAACACGATTGCCATTGTCAATCCCTGCTGAAAATTTATAGTCATTATCTTCATACCAAACATAAACATTGACCCTTTTGATACAAAGCTTCTCAGAGATGGAGAACCTGACAGGGCCCCCATAGCCACATGTTCTGAGAAGCCTCATGGGAGAGCAGCACTGATTTAAGAATGAGTCTGAGAATTTCTTTAAACTATATTTCACTTCAAATGTAATACAGAAAAAAAAAAAATCTTTACCAACAGAGAAACCTTGGCCTAGCGAATAAATCCTCAGCTCTTTAGTCTCTTACTCAAGACATGGGGTTTCCATTTCCTTTTGTATTACAGATCAGAGGCAGAAGCAAAATGAGTGATTTACTGATCTCAACATGAGGGCTCCAATTTCTCACCACTATATTCGCGCATGCTGCCTTCAGCTTCAAACATTCTTTCTATCTTTCTCCCTGTCTTTTCACTGACAGAAATTGGATCTTAATACTTCTCTTTGCATTTTTAATGTTCTCTCTAGAAATCTCATTTTCTTCTGGTTTCCCAGAGTGAAACCTCTTATATAAGGCAAAGCATTCAACCATATATTATATTTTGGTATATGCGTGGCTTTTTGCATCGAAACTGAAAGTAGTTTAAGAGAGGGTCTGTTCTCATTCACCTTTTGCTAGTGGCTTGCACAACCTCTTGCACCTAATAAGTCAAATAAGAATAAGAAGTAAATAAATAAATAAATAAATTTCTGGGCCAAGGTACAGAGGAAGGACTAAGAAAAATCTGGAAAGGTTGAAGGTTGATAGAATGAGGAAGGTGTCTGAGGAAGGGATGTTTTTCCCCCCAGAGCTGGATATCTAGAGATTGCGCTGAGTTACATCCCCGGTCCTATTTTTTTTTAATACCATTTTGAGACAGTCTCTCTAAGACATCAACTTGTCCAGATTAGGCTTGAACTTGTGATACTCCTACCTCAGCCTCCTAAGGATGATTTTTGTTGTTGTTGTTATTAGTAAACTTTTCATCCTACACCAGAGTTAAGGATTAAAGAAGCAGACAAAGTTACTGTTTCTCCTTATTAGTGAAGTAGAGCTCTTTCCTAAAAGCAAATTTGTTCAATTGAAGAAAAACTGTCCCACGTACCAAAGCTTGTCTGTGGAAATTTACTAAATACCTTAAAAATCGAATAATCATGATTTTTTCCCCTTGGAGAGGTATGAAGGCAAATGTGTTCAGACAGTCCACACTGGTACCATTGTCTTTTTTCTTATCTACTGTATGTGTCCATCCAGAGAGGTTTCCTTCTACTCTGAATAGACTTACTATCTATGAAAGCAGAAGTCCTCTAATTGTAAAATTATCATTCAAGCCATATAATACCTAAATAAAATGCTGTTATTACCTTTCAGAATCTTCAGACTGATTGGTGAGCATTACCAACTTCTGGCTGTGTTTCTCTTTTTTGTTTATGAGCCTTCCACATGGAACCTAAAGAAAAAAAATACATAAATGACACTAGGTTCAGACGTGTCTCAAAGGATGATCACTGTGTCAGTCACCGGAGGAGAAAAGTACCTGCTAAATGCATTTTTCATCAAAAGCCATGTTTTTATTCTCATGTCTTGTTTTCGTCCCTGCCATTTATGAGAAGACAGACCATACACTTACCTTCTGTTTAGTTTCAAAGTTAGAACACTGGGTATAAAAATAGGTTCAGGCTTCTAGATAAGGATGATTCTTGTGACAGGGAGAAATTGTCCAGAAGCAAATAGAAGGAAGCTGGACATTCCAACATACAAGGAATAAACTGTTAAAGTTGTAAGACTGACATGTTTATAGTTCAATTAGCCACATCCACAAATGAGCTCCACAGGACTGTGTAACAGTCCAATAACACCAAGACATTCTTGCTCAGAATGCTATTTATCCAAGATTTTTCTCCAGTGGAAATCAGTAATTGTTACTATGATTTTCAAAATAACAGGAAATTATAACAATTAAAAGAAAACCAAAGGGGGGAAAGTATGCTTAAGACACAGAACTTTTATTTCCTATCGTTTCTATTTAATATTAATTGCAGTTTAAGCCCCAAACTGTGCTCAGATATTACGCAGACAGCATAGTACCTCAGGAGGTTTATAGTGGAGGCACAAGACTGACAAGAAGACTTGTATATGTTTTAAAAGCCAAGTCCTGCAGGCAATTGACACATTTTAAATGCATCTGGAATCTAGTAATTGTTGTGATCCTATTAGAAAACTTAGGGAGTTAAGTCTATGGGACACATGAAGCCAGCTTGTCTGAGTTTTATTTTTCTGTGTAAAAACAACCCCCCAAAAGTTTGGTAAATGCTCCAAGAACGATTCAATTCAGTTATTGGCAAGCTGTCTGCACATAGTGTGGGAGGGTGGCTTTTTTGTTTCATTTTGTTTTCAGCTTCTGACAGCTGTTGAAGAGTCATGTGTTACCACCATGGTAGCCAGTTACTAGATGAAAGCAAATGCCTTCCAGGACTGTTGTAGGAATTGGACCACCAGCTAATACGGCTGTCTTTTAACTATGCAAAGTTGTGAAATCACCTCACTTTTTTATGTGGCACTCTGGAACTATCAGACAAATCTGCAGATGCACTGGAGAGGCAAGGTATCTTTCATTTGTTCATTAATTCCTCTGGAAAGCATACTACCATCATTTTATAAGAAAAGGAACAGAAGTTCAGAGAGGACAAATGGCTTGGCTAATCTACACAATCAGAGAAACTTCTCTAGTCACCAACTATAGAAATGATCCCTAAAAGTATAGCCTTCTTGGCTAATCAATAACTGATATAGGATTTTATGTCAAGGCCTTGATTCCTAGTCTTTGATTTTCTATCGGTCCATAATTGAAATTGTACAGATTAAATTTTAAATCAAATGAGATTGATTTTGGTACTAATTTTTAAAAGTAATGTAAAGCATTTTAGTTTGTTTTGCTTTCAATGGAGGGTTGGTTTGGCTATGCTGCCCTGGCTGTTCTCCAACTCTAGGCTCAAACAATACTCTTGCTACAGCCTCTGTAGTGCTGGGACAAGAGGAGTACACCACCTCACTCCATCTACATTTTAATGTTACAAATGAAACCTCATGAAAATACACTTCTTAGGCAATGGCATTGTATTATTTGAACTTTAACATTTAAAAATATTCCCCAGAATAGGGTGTGGAATGAAAAATTTCCATATTTAAAATTGTATCATTTAGGATTCACAGGTAATACCTCTAAGGCACTGGAAACAGACAAGACACATATTGTCTCTAAGATATTATTTTACCAAATACTGCATTTCCTTTTGAAATGGCTTTTTCATAGGCTGAAACTTCATATCTGTTTTTCTATCCAGGATGTAAAAATATCAACTAATGAAAACTCAATATTCCAGACATAATTATAATTTACATCACTTTATTTCTACCTGAATTCCTTTCATGTCCATAGAGGTGTTTTTCCAACTGAATAGCAATGAAAGAGACAATCAGATAAAAGATATTCAGCAATAAAAGGGCATCTCTTTCAAATGGAAGCAAAAAATAAAAACTAAAAGCAAGCCAAGCCTAAAAAGATACTGGACCTTTGTAAACAAGTGCATCATTTTTGTTTTTTATTTACTTCTAGAGAATATAAACAAGTTTAGAGGCCTTATAGGATTTTATAAAAATTTCTGTGCCTCTCTGAACTTTATCTCTACTAATTTGAAGTCCCGGTGACATTTAACCATAATGTAAGGAATTCTGATGAAAGTCTTTTCCCTGTTTTTCAGTGAGTAAAAAAAAAACAACAAACAGTATCCTTCTAGTGGAGAGATTATGAACTTTCTGGATTTTTATTAGCTGGTGTGGAAACTAGGGGACAGGCAGCCACCAAACACCTGACACAACAAGCTAGGAGACATCATAGTCAGAACTCCCAACAATTTTAGGAGAATGATCTTTGATCATGGTCCATTAATTTTCTTTACAATGTAATTCAAAACATTTTACCTGACTAAATATTTTAAATATTTGAAACAGAACCTAATAGGACAGCTCAGTTGGACATATAACACAGTGAACTTTCATAAAAGCAATGATATTTGAACATTAAGGAGTGGGAAGAAGAGGAAAAGATAGGGTGTTTTAGCCCTCCTAATCATCATTCCCTCAGGGAATGCTCAGATGATTCATTACTTAAAATACAGCCAGTCAAGTTTCAGTATAGTGGCACAGGTTTACCTTCCACACTCTACACCTACAGCAGGAGAGCAGGACAGTGATGAAAGCAGGCTCACCAGGGAGACTCTGAAGCAGGACTGCTCCACCAGTGGCTCAATTTAAGAGAAAGAACCTTTCTGGGCCTTTGTTTCCTCTTCTATAGGGTGAGATAACAATGGTAACTGCCTGGGCCAGGGATTTATCTCAGTAGTTCTGCTGCCTGCCTTGCAAGCACAAGGACCCAAGCTGGATCTCAGGTACCAAAAAAAAAAAAAAAAAAAAAAAAAAAAAAAAAAAAAAAAAAAAAAAAAAAAACAAACAAACAAAACCAATGGTACTGGCCTCGCAGGACTAAGATGAGGCTTAAGTATATCTGTGTAAAATTTGTGCAATAGTGCCTGGTATCTTAAAAATTAAACATGTATTGGATACAGTGTGACATTTCAGTATGTGTATATAATGTGTAACCATCAAATTAACATTGTAATTGTGACTGTCACTGTCAAGGGTGGAATCATGGGAGGGCAGAAGTAAGAGAGAGATCAGTTTACCATCTTGACTCACAGTCATTTTGGGGAGAGCTTGGTATATGGAGGTTGTCATAAAGTATTATTTCTAAGGCTCTTTTTGACTCTAAAATTTTCTGACTGTAAGATTTCAAGTAAAGATATAGGCTTCTCCCATTGAGGAAATAGAATGACAAAACCTAGAAGCTAAAAGCCAAGGGGTTCTTATTCTCATGTCCCCAGGACCCATCAGGGTACCCAACTCACAGCGAGAACATTACATTTAAGAATATAAGAATTAAGGGATGGCATCTAACTATGTAAGAGAGAAGATAATAAAAGGATTTGAAAATCTTAAGACATTATTGTCAGTAGTGGTTACACAGATATTTTAACACATTATTTAATGTTTAACAGATTGTCATATTTCCCCTTTTTATATCAATGAAATTTGAAAATGAATCAAATTTCATTGAAAATTGTCTTATGGTTGTATTTCCCTTGGGAAGACAAGTTTAAAACACAGACTTTAGAACCAAAAGAAGTGCCATTAAATGCAATAGAAGGATGAATAGCCAAGTGGCTGTCAAGCTAAAAGCAAATACATTTCTTTGTTTCCATCACTTGATTACTTATTTCTTTCTCTCCTCATCCACACCTTCCTTTTTACAAAGAATTCCTATGTTGCTAAAGAAGTAGCTGTCATTTTCTGTATAACTTAACCAAAAGATCCCTTGAATTCTTGGATGCATTTCAGTACACCAGAGAAAATCATAAACTGATGGATTGTTTAAGCAGAAGTTTATACAATCCATAGTTCCAAAATAACCCAACCTTAGAGGATAAACTTACTTTTGGAAGTAAACCAAATTTTATGAGCTTTTTGCCATTTGTGTTGACAGCATTTTAATACACTCAGATTTCAAATGTCAAACTGAAGGACTGGGATGTCTTACCAGTCACAGTCAGTCTGCAAAACTCAGTGTTACAGACCTTGAAAACATCACTTTAAAAGATGCTAAAGAATTCTACTATTGTATAAGTTTGTTAAGTCAGTCGTGTCTGTGTTATAATATCGCAATGCCAAAATATAGTCAAAGTCTTGACACCTTTACTTAAAACAGAAAGTACTAGAAGCTGGCAAATGATCTTTATGTATATAAAATATGCTACCCACTGGGGCCTACAATTTAGAGTTCATAATACTTAACTAGGAACTCCATTTCAGTATCTGCCTTTACTAAATTAAAAATTAAATGTTAACCAGCATCAATACATTTTGGAAGGAATGCTCTTTAATACTTTAAAGCACCATCAAAATGTTATCCTTATATCTTTATATGATAAATAAAGATTAAGGTTTTATACTGGAAAAGAATACATGTACATCCACACACAATTACACAAAAACACTTATAGCTGGTTTTTAAAATAACATTTTGGCTGCTAAGAATATGTAAAAACTTACTGATCTCACAAAACCAACAAATAGTAAGTTAATTAAAAATTTGAGTAAAATCAGGACTCGTGAAGAGTACTACATTGATATCATGTTAATATCTATGCATCATTTATCAAGCCCTCTTTTCCTAGAAGGGATGAATCAATGGCCATCTACAACCTCCAGAAATTTCCTCCAAGGCTTCATGCTCCTGCCAGCTATAGTCTTTGATCTCACTGTTCCTTTTCCTTTAATTGCTCTTTCCCTAAAAAATAAATAAAATCAATAGATCAGTCTCCTCTAGCTTTCCGTGTTGTATACGTTCCTAAGATATACTCTTATGACCACATGTACATTCCATCAGTAGTACTTATTATAACTGTGATTTCACTCTTTGGGGGGAGGTTGCAATTATTTCCTTTAGTTCATTGTTGTCCACTAGACTGTAAATTCTGTTTGATTGTGCCCTCTTTGTTCACAACTGCT